CTAACTCGCAGATCCGAACCTTGAAACAATCGCCGTGGGGCTGATCTAAGTCAAGGCACGGCTATAACTCACAGATCAAACACTAAAACAAGCTCTTGGGCTAGATCGATCTCGAAACAATCACTACGGGGCTGTCGAATCCAAAAACAGCCTCTGAGCTGATAGTAAGATCGAATTTGAATTTGGTATGTTGGGTTTTGCGGAAATCAAGAAATGAAAACCGGATAACCCTTAGAAAATTCCCTCGAATGAAAAGAGGCAGCACTTACCACAGCACCGCTGTTACAGCGCTCGTTAGAGCAGTTTTCGTATGACTGTGAAAAGTTCACGGCACAAACACGGCACTGCAAAGACCCAGCCAATAAAAAATCTAAAACACATTACAGTCGCGGCAAGACATGAACTCTTCATGCAATCAAATGCACGAAACAGGGCACGAACACGACACAGACATGGTAACGACAAGACATGAACTCTTTATCCAATCAAATGCACGAAACAAGGCACGAACACGACTCAGACACGGTCACGACATGGACACGGCACTGCTAGACCAATCACATTGAGAAAGAGAAAAGAAAGGCAATCAAAATTCTAGGAAACATCACGGTCGCGTCACGGCACTGAATGTTTCACAGTCATACGAAATCTGCTCTAATCACACGCGTGCACTCGTACAACTTGCCATCGTGACGAAGTAGGTTTTGGTGGACGTGTATCAATGCGTTTCCAAGACATTCCATAGGCACGTGCTCTTACAAGCTTTGTGTTTTCCGACAATGTCGGTAAACACTTTGATTGACGTCCACCAAAACTCTATTGCATCTCTAATTTTTTTTTCATGATTTCGCGCGTATAAGGAGCACTGTAAAGTGAGAATTCAAATTCCACGCCATTTGACGATTTGGTGCATCATGCCTAAACATACCGCATTCCAGCATTTTTTGGTCTATGCATAAGTGCGTGGCGGCCTTACAGACAAGGCACATCCATTAGATTGTGGTTCTATCGGTTGCAGCGATTGCTTCAAACTCAAATAAGTAGAACAAACTCACCAGTTTGGCATGTGGTCAACACACTAATTTTCACAATTTCTGTATCTTTTGGAGACAGAAGGTACGATGAGTAAGTTCAAAAATCAGCTCTAACAGCTAATGACAGAAAGACAGGACGACGATGGAGTGTTTATTTATCAGGTAAATTGCTGATTTTGTAAGGAAAATATATCATATATTAGTTCTGAGGGAGTTGTAATGCTCTGAATACATCAGTATGGACTTTTGGAGTTGCATCAGACAGATATATGAAGGCTCAGGGCGAACGTTTCAATACTAACTATAACAATCTCGTACACAGAGCCTGCGTTTCTCCTGGACTACGGCGAAGAACGAGGGCTCTGGCATAATCCATTTTTTGAGACCAGGATATCTTGGATTTCAGGTATAAGAGCGCATGCGTTCAAAGACTTACCAAAAATTAAAGTATGTTCCCGATTTCTATTTTGATGGGAAGTAAACACACAACTCTGTTTGAAAGCATGATATTTTCATTTGATTCTATTTCACTTCCGGAAAATTGCACATGCGCCAAAAATGGATTATGCCAAAACCTTGTTCATCGCCGCAGGCCAGAAGAAACGAAGGCTCTAGGTAAGAGATTGTAGCTATAAATGCGACACGAGAGAATATATGCACTTCGCATTCTCGTAGACTGTGTGTAGTCGAGAAAACGTCTTCGTGCTTTTGTAAAATACTTGACTTTTCAAACAGACTCATATACTACTAATAATAACAAAGATAGTGGTTATAATGATGATTATAGCTATTTATTTTTATATATTAAGAGGAAATTTTTTTAAATAATGAGCAATGGCAAAAAGCGCCAAGAACTAGAGGCTTTCGTATGAGTTTTGATCCCAATTTTCGGGCTAACACTCCAAACCGTTTTTAAACAGTTAGAAACTGATGTACTATGATAAAATGCCTGTTTGAAGCGGTATTTTCAATTGTACAAAGATGTTTTGTTGCATTTGTGTTTGCTTTTTTTAATAGAAAATGTATGGGAAATAAGAAAATGAAGGCCTAAACCTCATTTTCGATTCAAATTTTGCTTTGGGTTAACACTTTGATTCCACTTTCATCGGTCATCTCCACTTCCAAACAAGTTAAACTTTCTGAATAACAAGATTTTAGCCTTGTACAACAGCCTTTCTTCAAAAAATAGGTTTTGGCGCTCACTGCTTGAATACGAAAAAAATTCTCTCTTAATGCGTAAAGTGATTCCGATACTTCAATGAGGGTTTGTTGTGAAATTGTTGTTTTTTTACTTTATAGTACACTCAACAAAATTACTCGACTCTGATTTTCCGAGAGGAGTATAATTATAGCGTTAATTGTACTCCGTAGGAGTACCGAATTAAGCCGCTATAGCAACACGCCGGCCAAAAAAAATGTCAAAACAATTATTTTCTATCATTTTGTACTTAAAAAACATATAAATAAGATTTTAAAGCCGTAAGAACTAATATTTTTTATGCATTTCAGCTGCGCGATGGACTGAAAATCGGCCGCCAAATAGACAAAGATGAACGGCGTCGCTTCGCATTTTTTACTGAAATTTTGTTGAGTGAACTGTAAACAAAAAATCGCACGATCTTCTCGTACAATTTGGAATTAATAGACACTCGTAATGTTTTGAAAGTTCTTTAATTGCACTCGCCTAAAGACTCGTGCAATTACAAGAACTTACAACACATTACGAGTGTCTATTAATTTCCAAATTCTGCTCAAGATCGTGCGATTTCCTATACGAATAACAATTAAAATAAAAGGTAATTACTGATTATTTTTAATAGACGGCAACGAATCTTAAAACCAAATTTCAAATTTTAGCCTGCAGCTTACTATTACAGATTTCTCAGAACATCAAAAACCGCAATAATATCATGTCTCGAACTTGAACTATCATAATATCTACCAAAAAAAAAAAACTATATGTCTGTGCGTGTGTTTTCAAAGCATAAGAACCGGCATTACATTTTACCGGTTTTTTTTATGAAACACATTTGATATTACCGTAAAAAATCAGAAAGGCCGTCATTTTCTTGCCACGAATGAAGGGCCCTGCCCCCCTGGCCCCCTAGCCCCCCC